CCCTCTCTGTCTTGCTCCTTCCCTCCCTTCTTTCTGTCTGTCTGCCTGCCTGTCTGTCTGTCTGTCTGTCTTTTAAGGAACTTCCATACTGCCCTCCATGATAACTGTACAAATTTACATTTCCATCAACAGAAGGTTTTTCTCAGTGCTTGCATGATAATGGTATAAATGCCAACATGTTACTTTCACATTTGAGCAGTTATTTGGATGTTTTTGGATCCTAGATTTAAAATGTATTTTTTGTGAAGGCATTGACAGTATTGTCAAGTTGTTTCAGATGCCAATATGATTGCTAATTCTTTCCCAGACCTGACTTCTCTCTCAATTCTCTCCTTAGATGGTTCCTTTACTTTGGAGGTGCTGACGTTGTAATGGGCTATTTCACATGTGAGTCTGACTCATCCATCTTAATAGTTACTAAGTGCAGAGTATCTATCTTTACAAGTGGAACAAATTCTTCTCTTTCTATTTCTCTTCATACTGTATCTTCTATGCTATATCTAGAACAGCGGTTCACAACCTATTGAATGACCCTTTCACAGGGGTTACCCAAGAACATCAGAAAACACAGATATTTATGCTATGATTCACAACAGTTACAAAATCACAGTTTTGAAGTAGCAACAAAAAAACTTTTTTGGTTGGGGGTTGCCACAACATGAAGAACTTAGAGGGATGCAGCATTAGGAAGGTTGAGAACCACTGTTCTAGACCAGTCTGGAGGATGTTGAATTTGGAAACTGACTAACATCTTTCAACTTTGTGTGTGTGTGTGTGTGTGTGTGTGTGTGTGTGTGTGTGTGTGTGTTCACATGTGCACATGTGTAGGACAGAGACCAATGTCAGGTACTATCATCTGTTGCTCTCCTCCTTATTGTTTGGAGACAGATCTTTGATGGAACCCAGAGCTCATCAACTGCTTGATTGGCTGGCCAGTGAACTCCAGGGATCTGCCTGAACCTTCCTCCCTCTTTGGAGTACTAGGGTTCCAAATTTAGATCCTTCTGCACCTCTCCAGCCCCTGGATCTTTCACCTTTTACTTCATAGCTCACATCGTTGTTCATTTACTTAACATTCTTGGAGATTTCCCAGCTTTAACTTCTTCTGTTAAAGCTTTTGACTTGGCAATCTGATTTTAAAATTTCCAGAATTCCTAATTTTGGGCTACTTTTTTTTTTATTTTTAAAGATAGCTGTTGTGGTGAAGTTCAATAGTTTTTCAGATTACCCTGATGCTATTAATTGAAATTTTAATGCTAATATTCTGGGCTTGGATTATCTATTTTTTTTCTGGGAAAATGTTCTTTTTGTCCACTTATTAATGTGAGGTTAATGCTTTTCAAGTGTGTGACAATTCTTTTGGTCCATTTAAATATTTGAAAGAAGGATGAAGATGGTTAATGTAGATGAAGTTTTCCTGTGTCCTGTCTGGTCCCGCACCCACTTGGGCTCAAGTAAACACACAGAGGCTTATATTAATTACAAACTGCATGGCCTATGGCTCAGGATTCTTGCTAGCTAGCTCTTTTATCTTAACTCAGCCAATTTCTAGTAATCTATATGTTGCCATTACCCGTCTCCTGGCATCTTATTGCTCCCTGGGCAGCAAGCTGGCATTTCCTCACTCCACCTTCTTTGTCTCTGTCTTCAGTTTGAATGTACCGCCTAACCTTATTCTGCCTCACCATTGGCCAAACAGCTTTATTTATCAACCAATGAGAGCAACACATATTCACAGCATACAGGAAGACATCCCACAGCAGGTTAATATCGTCAAACAGTGTGAAATGATTTCCCCCCCAGATGCCTCTCTCTGATTTGGGGATGGAGACACTCTGATTGTGATGCTCAAATCATGCTTCACTTTGTGTTGCTGGAATTAAAGGCATGCACCACCACCACCACCCAGCTTAGAACACAAATTTTATAAAATGTAGCCTATGGGTAGTTTGTTTATTTAATTTTGGTGTGTGTTATGTGTAAGTGTTTGTGTATTCATGTCTATATGTGTGTATGTGTGTAGGTCAGAGGTAGACATTGTCCTCTATTGTCTTCTGTATTTTTTTTGAGAGACAGTTTCTCAGTGAATGGAACATCACCCATTTGGTCAGGCTGGCTGGCCAGCAAGTCCCAGGACCAGGCCCATCCCAGTGCTGAGATTATAGTGTGTACTTCTCACACTTGGTTTTTCACACCAGCACCAGCTGGAGCTCAGACTCAGGTCCTCATGCTTGTGCGGTAAGTACTTCCTGATTGGGTCATTTCCTGGGACTTATCCTCACTAATGTCAGTCAGTCTTCAGATAATTAAAGGATGCCAGTTAAAGTGACTGCTTAAGAGGACTTATAGACGTATTATTTCATTGCAATAATATTTTATTTGAGTATGTATATTTCTCTATTTACATGCCCATATGTGTACAGGCATGCCGAGAGGCCAGAATAGGGTGTCCGGTCCCTTGGAGCTGTAGTGATAGGACATGGAAAGCTGCATGATGTGCATGCTGAGGACCAAGTTCTAGTGCTTTTCAAGTGCAACAAGAGCTCTTGAACTGCTGAGCCACTTCTTCAGACCCTAGCATGCTATTTAAATTCAGTATCTATCAACTTCAGTATGCTATTAAAATACTCATCATTTGTTTGATATATTTTGATTTACTATCTTTCCTTCTTATCCATAGATGCCTACTAATGACTCCTAATCAACATTCTAGGAGTTACTAATCCATCAATTTCAATCAATGTGGTTTTCTTAGCAACTGTGCACAGTGTTTTCTCCTCTTTGATTTTAACATGCACATCTAACGTTCACCTCAAAAGAAATTGACAAATTAAAAAAAAAATACCGTACACCTTAGTCCGGGAAGAAAATTTATTTCATTTTGTCAATGTGAATTTTTAATAGCAATTTTGTTGAAGTCACTCTTCTAGGACTTTGTTTTCAAAGCACTCGATCAGCTACTCAAGATGAGACACATCATCTGTCCCAGATGTGATTTTCAAAATGTCACAAGAGAGAAACATATGCCACAAGGTAACACCTTTGTTTAATTTCAGTAGTACAAGTGAACTCTTGGGAAAGCCAACGCTTATGTGACCGTGACAAAACACCAGGCTGGCCACGCCAGGACTGCATCAGATGACCCATAAACCCTCCTATACAGACGTAAAGTGACAACACCCTTTTATTTCCTGATTTGGTTCACGAGCACTGAGAAGCAAATGTCAGATCTGCTTGCAGGAGAGACCAGAACAATGTAGTAAGGAGCTCTCCTGACAGGAAACCCGGAAGGTACTCCTGTAGACACAGTTCACGGCTGTTTGAAGCAAGCTTACTATGGGGACAGAAATGTGTTACGTCAATGACTGGCAGGGTTAGAAGGAAACCGGCATGTCAGATGGAAAGAGTTCTCTCTTGACAGTGTTAGTGTGGGGTGGACTGCAGAGGGCTAAGAACCAATCTGGAACGATGAGGTAAATGTTTTGAAGTGAGTCTACACAGTCGAATAATAACTCTATTATTAGTCTATCTTGTTGTTGTTGTTGTTGTTGTTGTTGTTTTGAGACGGGGTTTCTCTGTGTAGCCCTGGCTGTCTTGGAACTTGCTTTGTAGACCAGGATGGCCTCAAACTCAGAGATCCACCTGCCTTACCTTACCAGTACTGGGATTAAAGACACACACCACAACACCAGGCTGTACTATTAGTCTATTACACAAATTCCAGTCTGTTTTGGACTTAACAGCAGTATAGATAAAGGAATTAGGTGAATAACTAGGATCTGTCTCCATATAGTCACTTGGTAGAATTTTTTGGTTCAGACATGATAATCAAAATGAAATAAAGAAAAATCTTTTGGGTCATATCATGGTTCCAAAATGAAGTAGACAGCAGCTCCACAAGACAGAAAAACCAGATTCTTCTTACGTGGTGCTTTTCCTCTTTGTCATGAAAATGTATCTTTGAGGACAAGATATACCTAGAGTTCTTAAAATGGAAGAGGACATCAAGTGGCTCCATTTCTAGAGAATTTGGAGTTCCAGGGACTTACTCAGAACTCAACTATTAAGTGGCCTATAGTTATATTGTTCAACAGGCGACTAAGTGTGCTCGGTCCTCATTCCCACGTGTTGCCTAGAAATGCCTTCCGGAGCTCACATCTTCTACAAGAAGATACTCCTCAGATTGCTCAGCCACAAAAGGTGAAATCTCAGCAGTTTCTCCAACCAATGCCTAACAGTTGGGGCACAGCGGGTAGATTCTGGCGAAGAGAGTCTAAGAAAAGAACAAGATCCCCTCAAAGCTAAACTTCTCCCGTTTCATGTTGAATGGAAGCAGTTGCGTGCCATCTAGTTGTGTTTGGCTTTCCAGGGTTCTTTTGGTCTCTTGAGATGGGGTCTCACGTAGCCCAGGCAGGCTTGGAACTCACTATGTAGCTAAGCATGAACTTTGGATCCCCCTGCCTTCACCTCCCAAGTGTAACATGTTCATTTTAAGGAACAAAAACTTTCTTTGGTTATATCAGGGGATCCAATATAGACCTGCTTAAGTAACTGAACACTGACCATCTGTTGACTCTTTTTTATATAAAGCAGCACTACATAAACTAGAGAAGATAGATGTGGGAATGGTACAGCTGGTATCAGTGGAACATGTTGCACAGTATCACAGACGAGTATCAGGCAAGTCCCCCAGAGAGCGCAGACTATTTTTATATCACCTGGGACTCAGATATGCTGATAGCTTATCTCCCTTCTTGGAGATAATACTCTCTAGAGACAACTGTGTTCCTATGAAACATCACCTGCATGAAGCTAGGCATCCGTGTGTTGTAGATTAGAATGTGTGTTCAAGAAACCAGCCTTTTAAAATCCCACTGTGAATAGTGTAGCATCACTTTACAAGGCTGTTTGCTTATACTCTTCTGAGCTTTGTCCCTGTATTTTTGGAGTCAGGTGGGAGTTTCCAAGGAGTTCATAGGCATCTTGCATGTTGGGGAGACTCTGCCTCCTGTCCTGGGGAATCTTTGGAATCTGAATACCAGTGCTATTATTCGGATAGACTCTCTGACCTTGATATGCCTGGGCCTGGCGCTTACAGATGCCAAACTTGCTGAGCAGGATGAACACATCCCTCTGGAAGGCCTTGGTGAAAATAGCGTAGAGGAATGGATTGGCGCAGGAGTTGAGGGGGTAGAAGAGGACCAGCAAGATTTTGGAGTTAGTAACGGTGATGAGAGGCTTGTTCATAAGTGCCGACAGGGCGTAGAAGGAGATAGGGGCCATGCACATGAAGTCGGTGAAGATCAACACAGCCATCCTCTTGGCAATCTTGGTGTCTTTGTCTCGAGGGTTGTACTGGGGACTCCGGACTGTGATGTAGATCTTCACATAGCAGGAGCAGACGATCACAAAGGCAACGACGTTGAGCAGCAGAACCAGGACAATGTACGCCAGAGCAAGGGGCGTGTCGGTGTCCATTGGCAGGCAGATACTGACCTTGGCATAGCTGCTGATTCCCACCATAGGGAGCAGGGCAAGGAGGAAGCAGGAAACCCAGCCCCCAGCCATGATGGTGTATGCGTGCCGGAGGCGGAGCTTCCTATCCAGGCGCATGGCGAAGGTGATGGCATACCATCGCTCCAGGGTGATGACTGTTAGCGTGTACACGGAGAGCTCACTGGCAAACACAGTGAAGAAGCCGGCCGTGTTGCACCCAGGGCCTGTCTGCCAGTCAATGGCGTGGTTGTAGTACTCAGAGTGTGTGTACAGGTCTACCGAGGCGATGAGAAGCAGGTACACCCCCATGCAGAAATCTGCAAAGGCCAAGTTGCACATGAGGAAACGCGGCACGGTCAGTTTGTAGTGGCTGGTAAGGAGAATAAATAGGACAAAGACGTTGCCCAGGAGAGCCAGCAGACTGACAAACCACACCACGATTCTCAGGAACTTGTAGCCCATGATGTCTTCACAGGGGTTAAACTCATCTGATTTGGGGGTACACACCATGTCTTCATTGTCCCCACACACGGTGTAGTCGTAGTGGCTGTCGAAGGCTTGCAGAGTCTCTTCCTGAGGATTTTTGAGCACTTGGCCAAAACCAACGATCTCATCCTCTTGTTCTTCAAAGAACACATAATAATGAGAGTTGCTGGGGCTCTCCTGGAGCTTGGAGTTCTGTTTGTACCCAACACTGTTGTCACCCAGATCTTCCTCGTATTCCTGGTAGATGGGACCTCTCAAGACATTCACCGATTTCCTTTGACGAAGGTTCCGGATACTGCTCTCATTACACATCAAGGACTCTAGGAGTCTGGAAGGGAACAGATATGAGTCACCTCTTGCTTAAAGCCCACCTTTGAGTCCCCTTAACCCTTAGGAAGATATGCAAGTTACTTATTTTAATGTTCATGGTGCTACCGAGTTTGCATGATCTGGTCAGGTCTGCTACATCACTGAAAACATTTACTTAATTTATTATGTGTGCCTGCACCACAGTACAGCGCAGTATGGAGTTCAAAGCGTAATGGCAGAATTATACCTTCCTAGTCAGAAATCACTCCAAGCACTTCAAGGACTAATAAGAACGTGTTAATAAAAGCATGCATCCAGATTCTGGCTAAGCCCATAGGATCCCAGCCACGGACAGAAATCCTCTACAGCTTGAAGGCTTGAACTCTAACATGGTAACCTTACATATGCTTTCATTTGCTAGTGGCTTTTAAAAAAAGATTTCTTTGTTATGTCTACAGTGTTCTGTCTATACATATTCCTGCACACCAGAAGAGGGCACCAGATCTCTTTACAGGTAGTTGTGAGCCACCATGTGTTTGCTGGGAATTGAACACAGGACCTCTGGAAGAGCTGCCAGTGCTCTTAACCTCTGAGCTATCTCTCCAGCCCCTGCAGGTGGCTTTTTAAGCTCCCATCCCCAGCTATATTTTCTGAGCAATTAGGTGGGTTTTATAGAAACAAAATGAAGCTGCAGGTTTTGGTTATCTTTAGATTACGCTGAGCAACACAGATAGAGTTCTCTGTCAAACCAGCTTTGCTGTCTGAACAGCTGGCGGCCAAGGCCATTTTCTCTTTGCTTTCGCTGATGAGAAGAATAGCTCCTTATGAGGGAGTTCCATAGAAACATCCTAATTTATTTCACTAGTACAACTCTGCCTTCCTTATCTTACACTTCCTAAGTTTGGTTACTATGCGATTTGTCTTAGGGTTGTGTCGGAGGCAATACTTCTTCAGGTAAATTCTACTTCTGTGTAAATCCATATTTTCTAAGCAAACATTGGTCAATCCTCTGTGACACTAGTTTATTATTTTTCATTTTCTTTTCTTCAGAAGGACAACCTGCGGGGGTCATTTTTCTTTTTCCACCATGTGGGTGTTAGGGAGGGGACTCGGGCCACCAGACTGGGCAGCAAGCACCTCTCTGTGCCATCTCTGCCACTCTCCGATGCATCCGTTTATACGACCTCACCTCTCCTATTGTGACCAGCGACAGTGGCCTTCTTTCTTGTCATCTTGAGCCACTTGGAGAAGAGTCACGATGGAAAAGCACGGACATTGGAGCCCACTTACAACATGGCTCCTTTACTTACTAGGTGCGCCCCGTTGGGCAGATCTGTGAGACTTGTTCATTTGTGAATGGAAAGAGAGCACTGAATGAACCGATGAATATCTTTTCCAAGCTGTTACAGTGATACTGGGGACATGGGCTGTGCCATCTATGTGTTTGTGATTGCGGTTAACACTATTCCTGTTCCGAGTCCAGGACTCCACACTCCCTTCGCCTAGAAATTCATGGCCTCCTCTAATTACTATTCAGTTTTAAACATCCTCTTTTCATAGGAGTCTTTCCTGATCTCCTTAAATAAACCACCCCACCCTGGTGTTTCATCCCTTCACAGCGGTAACTGACATTTCCTTCTTTGTTTATTGACTTCCTTCAGTAGATGAGAAGCTCTATGCATGAAGCTTCCTTGTACTTCCTGCTGTGGCTAGGACAATGCCAGGCACATAGGTGATGCCCATTAAATATTTGCCAACAAATGAATAAATGGCCACAGCACGCAGGTATAGTCATAGAAATAAGACTTACTTTTTCAATTTATTTTTTATATTTTTTTATATTATAGTATAATCACACAATTTCCTCTTCCTATGTCCTCCTTCTGAACCCTCCCATATACCCCTCCTTGCTCTCTTTCAAATTCATGACTTTCTTTGTTAATTGTAGTTATTGTGTGTGTGTGTGTGTGTATTCCTAAATACATAAATACAACCTGTTCAGTCTGTATCGCGTTATCTGTATGTATACGGTTTCAGGGCTGACCATTTGGTATTGGATGACGAACTGGTGTGCTCTTCCCTGGGAAGACTATTTCTCCTACTCCCAGCATTCCTGAGTTGCCCATTGTTCTCTGTGTAGGGTCGAGGCCTATGGGCTTTCCTTGCACCAGCAACAGCATGCATGTCTATTGTTGTCCTTGTTCAGCTCGTGTTTAGGAGTTGTGTTGGTGAGACTCCATGGGTGTAGCTCTGACACTCGTAGGAGACACAATCTCATAGCAGACTCTGTTCCTCTGTCTCATATCTTTCCATCCCTTCTTCCTCTGTGGTCCCCAGGCCTTAGTGCAGGGGTTATGCTGTAGCTGAGACTGGAAGGATTTACAGTTTTACTACATTGCCAGAGCTATATCTGCCAGCGAGGTCCACTCTAACCATGCATTCACCCAGTCCTTTCCCTCCAGTGTCTTGTAGTGTTAGTGTAGCTCCTGAGACCAACACCCTGTGCCCCTGCAGTTATGAGGGCCATGATGGTCCCCTTTGCCTAGCTCTTCAACCTTCCTCTTTGCATCTGCCTCTGTGACCAGGTCCTGATATATATATATATATATATATATATATATATATATATATATATATATATATATATTTCTGGTTAAAATGATGAGTGTGGAAAGTCACCTAGTAGATACTTGTGTGGAAACTAAAGGAGACGGAAATAGAGAAACGAAGGGCAGAGTTAGATCAGGAGGTGGCACAAGACACAAGAGAGGAAGTAGGTCAGAGCAAGAGCCTGAGGCAGCTTGGCGTGTAAAGTGTGAAGGAGCATCTCTCCTTGGCACTCCCGCAAATACCCAGATATTGAAATAATCCATGTCATAGTTAATACTTTTTACTTGTTACATTACAGATATTCAGCTCCTGGTGTTTTCCAGTAAGCGTCTTTATCTTCTCAAAACCCCTAGGGATGATGACATGATGATCTCAATCCTTAGAAGCTCAGAGTAGTTGAGTAAGTAGGCTGAGATAACACAGCTAGAAGCTGATATAGGCTTGGGATACAAACTGACCCTGCTTCACTGTCTGTGCACACCGGACAAGTTCGCTTCATAGTGAGCCCTGTCTCCATGACATCATTTCCTATTGTCTCCCCTTCCCTACCACAGTCCAACAATGTTGGCCTTATTTCTTGTCTGCAGCCATTTTGCTCTCACAGCCACCATCAGGCCCATGGATTTCCTGCTCATAGGGATGTTTCCAGTTCTTTCCCTCCTGGGATTTTCAATCCTGATCTTTTCCAAACCTAAAAATGAATCCATCTGCCCTCCTGGCCTCTCCTTGCGTATTCCAGAGCGCTGCTACCTTACCCCCGGATTTTCTTCTGGTTCTTGAAGGCACAGCAGTGGCTTGGATAAGAGAGGTCAGCCCGCGTGAGGTGGAGGAGACTCAGAGACAGCGGGAGCTTCTTGAGAGTCCACGTGTCCTTGGCGATCAGTTCTTTCAGGTGCTCCAGGCCTTTGGAGGGAAGGGCAGTGACGCTGGTGGAAGACACATCTCTGGGAGTCAGAGAACAACACAACACAGACAGGCAATGAACAGCCAGGGCCTTCTTGTCTTTGCCACCCCCCCCACCAAATCCCCCAAACAAACAGTCCCAAGATTAACCGCGAGACAACGAGTTCCTTTCTGCTACTGACTGTGCAATCTGAATTCATTACCTGTGTCTACTGGTTCACAGTGGATATGAGTTTCTAAGTCCAGGATATAAGGAACTGCTGTTTTTCAAAGTTTTAATAAGTCATTGTTGTGCATATGTATATTATGTATGTCTGTGTGTGTGTGTGTGTGTGTGTACACATACCCTGGTATGCATACGGAAGTTAGAGGGCACATTTATGGAGTTAGCTCTCTCTTTTCATCTTTACACGGGTTCTGGGGATTGAACTCAGATCTTTAGCCTTACGTGACAAGTGCTTTTTACCCAGTGAGCCAGCATCTTACCCGCCTAGAACTACTATCTTTATTGCATGGAAGTCTTGCATTTAATCAACACAAATCCATAAACATTTGATTCTCTCTGTAAACTCTTGGGATCAGAGAGGGATATGAGTGCTATCTTGTAAAACGACATCATACAACTATTAAAAGATCTCCGGGAAAAAAAAAAATCAGACAAGGTCAATGGCAACCAAACTGTTGTCACTTTCTGGGGGTGAGGTTTGCGTTGGGGGGGCTCATGTCTGGAGTCACATAAACTACTCCTTTGTTGGGATTAGCATCAACATTATGAAAATACTCTCCATTAAATGCAGAACTTAAGAATTCAAGAGTTACATAATGAGCCATGGCTAAGAGAACCCTCCGCAACACAGTTTCTTTTTTAGAAGACTATAAATATAATTCCTATTTTTAAAAAGCTAATTATTTTATTAATAGTCTAACATTACTTCTGCAAACTGTGGGAGGGAGATGTGGTGGGGCTAGGAGATGCATAGGAATGTTGGTTATTAAAGTAGAATGGTTTTTGGCTTTTAAGTAGCAATTTTCTCTTCTCTAGTCCCAAAGGGACTGTCTGTTTTGTTCATGATTTTTCTTGCACTGAAAAATAGCTTGAATAAAGCAATGAATATTTAAACTATCATCTCTCATCTCTTTATTTCATCAGTTAAAATAGTCACTATGTGTTCCCTATCCAAGGCTTTTCTATTTAATATAAGTTGGGTGTGATGGTGTATGCCTTTAATCATACATAGCACATGGGAGGCAGAAGCAGGTGGATCTCTCAGAGTTCTAGGCCAGCCTGGTCTACAGAGCAGGTTTCAGGACATCCAAGACTACATAGTGAGGCCTTGTCTCAAAAAAAAAAAAAAAAATTAATATAAGCCTGGCACGGTACCATATGTCTGTAATCTCAGTACTTGGAATGCAGAGGCAGGTGAACCAGGAGTTCAAGGTCATTATCCTTGGCTACACAGTGAGTTCAAACTAGCCTGGACTACGAGAAACCCTGTCCACATACCGAGGTGGTAACCAATAACTCTCTAATAGAACTTAAGACGGACTTAACAAGAGGGAAACTGTGCTTGCTACTGGAAACGCAGCCAACTAGCAGGACTAGTGAAGTCATGGACCTTGGAGGAGAATCTACAATGCCATTTTACCAAGCCAGCATATCCCTAACTACATTCTAAATATTTGTCCTCTACCCACAGATAAGTGCAGTCCTCACCCCTCATTAAGGAATCCTCTCTTTGCAGCAGATGGAGACCAGCACAGAAAACCACAGCCAGTCAAAGTACAGAGGTGTGGGGCCCAGTCCCAACATATACGTCTACAACACAATTCCTAAACCCAAGGCTCAGGGCTCACTGCAGAAGAGGGGGCAGAAAGACTGTATATGAGAGGAACAGGAAGTTTTCATCTCCTAGGAATATCAGAAGCTACACCCATAAAGTCTCACCAGCTTGACTTCCTAATCATGAGCTGAACAAGAACAATAACAATAGACGTGCTGAAGTGGATTTTGGGGGAGGGGTACCACAAGGCCTCAACCCTCCAGAAAGAACCACAGGCAACTAGGGAACCCTGAGAGTGGGAGACACAGTCTTCCCCAGGGGAGCACACACCAACTAGTTATCTAGTACCCAATGGCCAGCCAACAAAATGTACATATGAATAACGTTATACAGACTGAGCAGGTTACATTTACGTATTTAGAAATATATAGGTACATACATGTGCATATATGTGTGTAACAATACTTAGTGAAAAATAGAGGCCATGAATTTGAAAGAGAGGAAGGAAGGGCATACGGGAGAGCTTGCAAGGAGAAAAGGGAAGGGGGGGGGATAATGTAACTATATTATAATCTCGAAAAATAAAAAATTTACAAAAAAAACAAAAAGAAAAAAACAATTAGTAGTGTCTGCTTAGCAAGTGAAATCTAGTGTTGCCAACTTCTTTCATTACAACCAGATTTAACTGGGGTTATATTATCAAGGTTCCAGGGTGCCAGAACTTCATACCCTTCTTCTTTTTTTTTTAAACAAATATAAAGCTCATATATTACCCTTGTTTTCACCATAGAACTATGATTGTCGTGAGAGAAGGTGTCACACTAATTTTGGGGGTTTGTTTTTTTTACTTAAAATTCTACAGTTCTGTGTTGGCTAGCCTTGCCTATCAACGAGAACGAACTTTGGCACTTGTCCCTGAACGCTCCCCAGGTGATTAACACTAGAGAAAGATGTTTGGGAAATTGGCACAAATAAAGCTGCAGCTGGGGAAAGAGGGGAGGGAGGAGAAAGAGCCTCTAGCACAGCTGTGAAGTGCGGCCTCTCCTGTCCTTTGGATGCCCCTCACTCACTCACTCCTCCTCCAATCCCCTGCCCCCGGCTGTCTTCTAGGTCAGGCCATCTCAACTCCAGTTTCTCTTGAAGCAACTTAGGCGTCTCTACCCTGTGGTTCATCCGTCGCTCTGTCTGTGATATTGAAGGAAGATAGCAGTTTTTAGCTCATTTTCCCCGTCTTGCTCTCTTCCAGGGAAGTGTGACTGGTATAGGATGTGAATGTGGCCCAACACAAAAATTGTAAACTTGCTTAAAATATTATGAGGTGTGTGTGTGTGTGTGTGTGTGTGTGTGTGTGTGTGTGTGTGTGTGTGTGTGATTTTTTTGTTTGTTTTTATAACTTGGTTTTGCACTCTGGGTGGTGCCATCTCTGGCCTGGTGATCCTGAGAATTCTCTAAGAAAGCAGGCTGAGCAAGACATGTGGAACAAGCCAGTAAGCAGCACCCTTCCATGGCCTCTGCATCAGCTCCTGCCTCTAGTTTCCTACCCTGTTTGACTTCCTGTCTTGACTTTCTTCAATGATGAACCGTGATATGGGAGCATCAGCCAAAGAAATCGTTTCTTCCCCAGCTTGCTTTTGGTCATGATAGTTCTTCATAGCATATAGTAACTCTAACAGTAGGCCTGGACAAGGTCAGTGTTGGAGCATGATTATACACCTGAGAGACATCTGTGGTGTGATGTGTGTTTGGAATTAAGTGGAGCTCAATAAATCTTCATTTCCTTCTATCTTCAACTTTGAGTTTATCTGAACTCAAACCCAAAGCAAAGGATCCAGTCAATACAACTCCAGCCTGGAGCTTAACTAGTCTGTGTAACTGCTCACTTGACATCTTACCTGCCTGCTTCACAGACATCTCTAGTTTAATAGAGTCAAAACTGAGGAGTGGCAGTAATCTGTGGCTACCTACTGCCACCCCCTCCTCTTTATCCTCCATTTTTATCTGTCACAACAATCAGTACTCCTATAGCTCAGCTGCTCAATCTTGGAGTAACTCCAGTATGCTGAACTTCAATATTTAACATAGCAAAGAGCTGTGGGATAAACTTCAAAAGATCTCAAATCCATGCACATCCAGCAATTTGTACCTCTGGGCTCTAAATCCCTGGATTTAATCAACTCCACACTGAAAACTTTAAAAAAGATAAGTTGCATCTGCACTGAGGATATATGGAGTTTTTCTCATCACCACTCCCCCAATAAAATATGGTGATATTAGCAGAACATTTACTTTGCATAAGGTACCTATAAGCAATTTACAGATTATTTAAAATATAAGGGAGTACATCCACAGAATATATGCAAATACAATGCCATTTTATATAAGGGATTTGATCAGTCTGGATTTTGATAGTCTTATTGGGTGCCATAATTCCTCTTAGATATCAGCAACGGCTATGTTCAAATCCAGCTAAGGAATCTGAAGACCGCTGGACAAATGAGACATGTGAAGAAAAAGGACAACCGCTCCCCACCCTCCCAAAAAAAATGTCCCAAGAAAAAGAGTAAATTGGCCTATTGGTATATCACATCTCTTCACTTTAGCTTTCTCCCTCTAGCTAGTATCCTCTTTTGCTGCAGTAGCTTTTATGTTTACTGTTTTTTTCCCTTTCAATCTGTTTTTCAGACACCACCGAGAACAGGGTTGAGAACTGAGTAATGTCCCTCTCCTGCCCAACTCCCCAGTGACTCCCCAATGTCCTATTCACTCCTCCTTCAAGGCCTTGCAGATCTGGTCCTAGACAATGTCTCCAACTTTGGTCTCAGGGGTGTCAGGCCACTTGACATAGCTCGAAGTATCCATTGCACCTGCTGCGCTTCAGGCATTCCGGCGTGACTATTCCGGAAGCACGTTATCTCATCCACATGGCTTCACACAAACAGGGTCAAGCAGCAGGAGCCGAGTGACTTTTGTTGTTCTTTTCCTCATCTGTTTTTAAATTGACTCTGTCTTGCAGAGATCTGAAGTTCTCAACAGACACTTGGGATGTTATCAGAAGCAAAGGTAGCATCTCCTCTTGGTTTCCCTGGTGACACTGCACATTATCTTCACTTGAAACAACTGGAACGAATCCTCCCTTCCTTCCTATGGGTATCAAAGAAAAATCTTTCCTGCTTTTTCTGTAGCAGCTTCCAGGGTTTGAAGCTCCCATGTTCTTTCACGTGGTCTCCTTTGCCTTTGTTCTACGTTCATGCCATAAATAT